CAATTAAAAGTACAGAAGACTCAAAAGATAATTTTACAAATAGTTGTTCAATATTATTATTTGAGATAGTAAGACGATATCAATTGTTTTTAACAGCAATTAAAACACCGCCTCCTCTGGTAACATTGTTGAAAACACTGCATCTGTCACAACGGAAGATGAAATAATTTGGAAGAATATATATAAACTTTACGTTATATCACGCGTTTCGGTCGACAAACGTACTGGTTATTTTTCGAGCACATCAACGTGCGATAAGATAAGCTTTTGAATGTAACAATTAACTTTAAAATTATATATACAACATTCATCTATACAAAATACATTATTACTAATACATTATATAGTGAGATTTTTACTCAATATAAGTGTGCCGTATTTGGCTGTACGATATACTTACCTGACAATCCATAAAATGTGCGGTTTTTGTCTACCAACCTTTTTGGGGTTAAAATCAAATGTGTGCGGTTTTTTGGATATAACATTACAATAGATCTGCCAACCTTTTTTTAACAAATAAGCTACACATAGTTGTAAGTTTACTTTGCATTAGTATGTGCAATTAAGTTTACTTTATTTGTTTGATGGATAAGTGATAAGTATTAAACAAATCAAAAATCTTAACTATTACTCTGTACTTATGGAGTTTATATTAATTAATAAAGTATAATAAATAATAAATAAAATAAAAATAGTCTTATAGTTGTTTATTATGAAGTTTATTTGTTGCGTGTTGCGAATTTTGACAAAAATACAACGTATACATGTATTAAATGTTTGATATCATATAATTTGAAATATCAACAAAATTAAATTTGAAGTTCAAAACATGTCATGATATTATTTAGAGAGATTTTATTTAACTATTGAACTATTCAAATAACAATAACATTGATGAAACTATAATTCAATTAATTTGTAACCTATCAACCAATGCGCTCATTCGGCCAATTTTAGAAGAAATGCAGGATACCAAAACACCAGTAGATGTCGTTAAATTATATTCGTGTTATACGATATTCGTTCAGAGTACTGGGAATTTGATGTTTTATTATATTATTATTTTATTTTAAGTATTGTTGTTCCCTCTTTATTTTTAATTTAAGCTATTATATAATACTATTTTCGAGTATATATATATATGTCATTAAATATAAACTGTATAAGCTATCATTTGTATTTAACTCACAAATTATGTAAATTAAATATGGTAAATAATTTATAAATTATAGATAGTATATTAATTATTTATTTTAACATTTGAATTCCAAATTTTGATTTAAGATAAAATATATTCATTTGAAAATAGTTTTCATTTTGCATTAAGATGTTTTTGGAGTATTTCATCATTCAATTGTTTTATCAATAGCATTTTTTTTTATTACATTTCATTCAACATATTTCATTGAAAATAGTTTATTAGCTGTTGATATATAAGTAAAATGGAACATTAAAAATTAAATAATAAGGCTGAAGTATATTTATCGATTTTAGTACAACTTAAAAACATATGATTTATTTATAGTTGTATAATAAAATTGTTCGGATTGTTTCCAATTGATTACCTTAACACAAAATCATTGAAATTCGATTTCTTTCGATTATTATGGAACAATGCTAATAAGGATAAAACTCAATTGAGGCAAATACAGAATTTCTCCACCTCTCCCTCCTTCACGTTGCATCAGTAGATTGGAATAAATAGTAATAATGCAGTAAAATATTATCTGAATCAAAAACGATGTAGGAACTGAAAAGACTTTCCAATGTAACGTTGACTCAATAATCGAATGATTATAGGTTAACCGAGCGCTTGTAGACATTTCACTTAATATTTAATTTCACCTTACTTTATCGTTATATTCCTTAATTTTTCATTATTCATATCGCTATAACTTCTGTTTAAATCACATTATTAATATTTATTGCTGTTATTTCACTAAATTATCATGCAGGTGGCATACGTAATAAAAATTATGAAATTGTTTATCTTGAGTTAAAAAAGGTACAATTTTGTATCAAAAACTTTAATGTTTTCGATTAATGCTTTAAACAATTCTCATAGAGATTTATTAGGTTCAAAATTAATGATTTTATGTTTGAAAATTTTTATAAGTTGAAAGAAATATAATTAAATTATAGTTATGATTATAATGTTATTTTATATAAGTTGAATGGTATCATAAATAACTCACCCTTGATAATTGTATAAAATGTATTGTTTATTTGTACAATTTTAATGGAGAAAAATAAAAATTAATTTTTTTTGGTTTTAATAGTTAATATTCAATTAAACTTTCAACAGTTTTTAAGCTAATATACTATGAGAATATATATATAATATATAATATATAATATATATATATATATAATATATTATATATATAATATATATTATAAATATAAATATAATAATATATATATATATTAATTATATATATAATAATAAGCGATTTATTTAATTATTTGAAAACAGTATAATACGAATAAACACGTATTATATGAAACATTTGTCATCACATCCAAAGTACATTATAATTTTACAAACTATAATTAATTTTTTCAAATCATTGAATAAATCGTAAAAATTCAAGTAAGAGTAAAACATCATTTGAGATCAATTAATTTTGATTATATTTTAATCGCAAATTGAATATAAACACTGAACACATGATAAAAATGTAGACTTAGACTTCGTGCTTAATAGAATACGAAAATAAATTTAAATAACAACGTTGAATGTCAATGAGTATTTGGTTGATTACCATCGTTACCATTTTAATTTAGTTTATTTAGTATACAAAAATGAAAAACTGGGTACTTTTTCCCGAGATCTTTTAGATTAGTTATATAGGATTTTAGTTGATTTTGCTCGGCTGAACTTCAATCGTTGGTTCTCAATTTCAAAATAAATTACCCGCTTGTATGGTTACTTTTATTATTTCCATTAACTTAACTATGTTAACTATATTTCTGAATAAATAAAATAAATAAATATAACATTGATAAAAGTGGTTGAAAATACTCAATTATGCTACAACAACAAAAAAGGCTGAAATAAGGTGTTCATTTGAACTACAGGAACGTACGACTGATAAATTGTGAATAATATTTTATTATGTATTGGAAATAAATGTGTGTTAGTTAAATTAATACTTGAAGTTAAATTTTGTATCTTTTTATACGGATAGCGTTAATTTATATACCCAGATTATTTGTGTAAGTCATGTGAATAATATTCTTGAACAAAAAATAACTACTATAATTAGCATCGTTTAATTAAAATACGTATAAGTATTCGAGAAACGACGAAGTAAAATATGTGAAATTTGAATAGTAGACGTATTTAGTAAAATGCGAACAATCGAAAATTGACGGTCCAATTTAGACGGCTATTGTGTTGCATTACTCCGCGCGACCGTAAGCGGTAGAAATAACGTCGGCAACCGAAACAAAGAACTACGACAAATGATGATATTATGGTCAGAATACTATCACTACACTTGTAATACCGTTAGCATTAACAGTTTAATAACAGTTTGGTTTACAGTCCAGCGCTGAGCGTCAGAACTTTAGAAGGCATGCTAATGGCCCCATAAAGACGATTGCGCATTAAGTTTGTACAGGAATATGACCGCATTTCTCTATTTTAAAGTACAACGGCCTGCGACAGAAATAATAAGACCACACTCCTCGATCGTTATTCATTCACTCCTTAAAGACGCGGTTGAAATTATAACGAACACGGTCTTCGCGATCGCGCAAGGAGTTAAAACTTACGCCACCGTGCACTTGCTCCATCACCACCTCCTTGCCAAACGATATTCAAACTTTATATTCGTTTATTGCTTTGCGTGTTCGAATAATACGTGCCACGCGCACTTACGGCTTTCCGGCATGGCTATTATCCAGGTCGTACACGTATATAGTCAGAACGGCATTAGGCTCCAAGTGTCCAAGTCTTTACGATTTCCATTGCACAATATCCATACAATGGATAAATCGAAAAATGTTAATATAATAAATAATAAACATACGAAATATAAAAAATCATCAACACAGTCTTTGAGTTCTTCCGCATTATTCTGTAACCAGGTGCGTAATGGGTCCATTTTCCCTACTGGGAAACTGGATATAATTGGGGCTCACTTAATACCAATAGAAATGAGTCTCATGTATACCTATCTATAACAATAGCCAGGTTGTCTACTCATTTCTTACACAAAACTATAAAATAACCATAAACCTAAATAATAAACCAAATTTACATTTTGATTTAAGTTTTATAAAAATAAATACATACACAACAATATTAAAATAATTATTTTTATTTAAGTGATCTTGAATAAATTGTAAATTAAATATTAAAAAAAAAAAAAAAAATGATACGTCGTATTTATTATATAATATGAATAGTATGTTCTTAAAAATAGTTCAATAAAATGATTAAAAACCAAACTTTCAACATTCTAAATATTTCTAAAAATATTCCATATAAATTGGTAAGTTTATTTTATTTAACCGTAGGTATTTACCCTGGTAAGTTGACGAGCTGGGTAAGATGACGAATTTATAATAACTGATAGTAGATTATATTAACAGCTGATGTTTTACAAGAAATGTAGGGAATGATGTTAGGAACAACTATTTTACCGATAAGAAATAATCATGATGAAGACCATGTGTTTTTATTTACGATTTTCTGTTATCACCGTACACACTTTAATTTTCTGCGTTTTGAAATAACGTTTTTCCAAAAAAAAGGTAAGTGAAATCCAATATATATTATTTTAAATCAATAAAGTATAGTGTAAGCTTTATTTTTATGTATACTTATATATATTACGTATGTTAAAAATACAAAAATATTATCATGATTGAAATATTATCGATCGGGTCAAGTTGACGTGGGTAAGATGACTATCGTCAACTTACCCCGTTTGATTAAATTTTTTATTAAATATTTTTGTTAATTTGTGTACGTTTACATCATAGAAACAATGCCAAGAAACTATATAAGAAAAACTGAACCAAGGTGGGACAAAGCAATAATAAAATTGGCTATAAATGACTACATCAACGATGTAAAACCTTCATGTAATAAATCTGCAAAAAAATTTGGTATACCGGAACCAACACTGAGGCGATATTTAAAAAAAAAACCAGAAGTAAATTATTTTGTTAATTTTAAACATCAAATTATATATTTTATTTTTGCTATAGGATTATCTGACAAATGAAGGCAGGTTTAAAAACACATTTACTGATGAACAATTGCAAGCATTACAAAATTATATTACTGATATTGATAAACGTTCTTTCGGTCTGACAAAATTACAGTGCCAAAGGTTAGTGTATGATTTTACTGAGGAAAATGGTATACATCACTGGTTCAATAAACAGACTAAGTTAGCAGATGATAATTGAATGCATACCTTTATGTCTAAGTATACCTTTAGTATTAGAAAACCAGAAGCAACTTCTATTGGTCGACTTATGGCATACAATAAAATAAATGTTGGCGCATTTTTTAACAAACTAAAAGAAATTAAACTTGAAAAAACATTTTAATGCCAGCTCGATATTCAATGTGGACGAATTTGGTATCTCTAGCGTGCCAACTAAACTACTAAAAGTTATTTCTCCAACTGGTGCACGAAGAGTTGCAAAAATTGTGTCTGCAGAACGTGGAAAAAATATCACTGTCGTTCTAGGAATAAGTGCTACAGGTGTATACGTGCCACCCTTTCTAATATTTGCAAGAAAACGTATGGATAAACAATTAATAGAAGGAGCACCTCCTGTTTCAGTGGCTATATGTAATGATAATGGTTGGATGACTTCTGAAAGTTTCTTGCTTTACCTTGAGCATTTTTGTAAACATGTAAAAGCAACTCCTGAAAATCCTATATTATTAATTCTGGATAACTATGCTTCACATGTTTTTCTACAAGCCATTCGTTCTTGTCGTGAAAATAATATTACAATGCTTGGATTTCCTCCCCATACCACACATAGGTTACAGCCACTAGACGTTGCAGTTTTCGCGTCTCTGAAGACGTATTATAGTCAAGCCTATGATACATTTATGGTAAATAGCCAGGGACGTGCAATAAATGATCGTGACATCAGAAAACTATTTAGTGAATCATATAATAGAGCTGCTACTGTAGGAAATGCCATAAAAGGTTTCAGTGTTTGTGGTATAGAACCCTTTAATCCAAATATTTTTTCAGATCATGATTTTGTTTCTACGGAAGTTACAGAAAGACCATTGACTATTGAAGAGCAGCCTATACCTGAATCAATATATAATGATCAGCTTATACCTGGACGAATAAATGAAGAGCACCCTATACCTGGACCAAGTCGGACAATTGAAAACATTCAGCCAAAACTACCAGCTTTACCAGTGGCAGTGAGACCTGTTTCCAAACACAAACCTAGGGCCAAATTGCCAACTTTAGAGATAACAAGCTCACCAGTAAAAACCAAATTAGAAATGAAAGAACAACAAAAAATCTTAAATGAACAAAAAAAAAGAGAACGATTAGAAAAAAGAAAGCTGAGTAAAAAAGAAAATAAGATAAGAAATAGAAAACTGCGTGGGATAAATAATAGACGCAAATTAATTTTATCTTCTGAAGAATCGGAAAATGATGAAGTTCCAAATGTTGATACGAGTAATGAAGAATCAAGTTATAACGAAGAATGTATTTTTTGCCAAGAACTTTATAGTTACGATAAAAACGGTGAATCGTGGATTAGGTGTATCCAGTGGGCAGGTGGGCTCACGAACTTTGTGCAGGAGTTGAATGTTGGAAAACATTTGCTTGCGAGTTTTGCAGAAAACCTATTTCATAAGTTGATTTTCATGTTATTTCATTATTTTATGTATTTTATATTAAGACTGAATATTTTATTTTCCGACAGAGGGTAAAATGTTATTTTTTGTTTTAGATATTTGATATTAAGGCTGAAGAAGAATACAATTTTATTTTATTGTTTTATATATTTTATATTCAGAGTGAAAGAAAAATGTTATTTTATTGTTATATTTGTTTTTTAAGTTTTTAAGACTTAGATTTTTAATATATAATTTAATTTTTAAATAAATGCACTGAACTTTATAAAAAGCATATTTACTCATTAAAATATAATACAACTATGCTATGTTAACTTAACTCGGCAAAATGTCAACTTACCCCAGCACATGGGTAAGATGACGAATTCCAAATTTTTTTTAATTTTATTTTTTTATCCCGTTTAAAAAAAAAAAATAAGTCTAACTTTTAATTTTAGAACATTTTTCAAAAGTTCCTACATAGTAACCTACATATTTACCAATAACTAATACATATAAGTATAAGTAATTATTGTTATTACCTTGTTGCTATTCTCATTATTCACTAACACGATTTAAGTTCTATATACGTACTCTAATACTATATAGCCGTGGCCACTATTCAGTGGTTACTAACTGGTTTTATTATTATTTATTACTTTAATCTACTTTTATACATTGTTATTTATAGAATATTCCAGCCGCCAAATATTGACGTTTTATGTCCATGTGTTCACACAATTATTGTCTAGATTATTATTATTTAAGTATAATATTAGCTATAAGGTATACGTATATTAAAATCCGGGCGTAAGCATTAAGTAGCAGATATCGCACAGTCGTCTATTATACAGAAAAAAAAAGTTAATCGGTATAAAATTGAATGGTATTATTTGAAATAAGTTTATTTTTAAACTTTAAATTTAAAATTTAAAACTTACATACGGTAATACTAAGGGTTGATTATTCTTCAATTGACTTCCCAAAAAAAAAAAAAAAAATATCTTTTTCAAAATTATCTAGATAATAAATCATGTTAATTCTCTTATGACCATTTTATACTTGTACAGTGTATAATATTATGTTTCAAATAAAAATCAATTAAAAAGTCTTACTTTTAATAAAAATTATAATGCTCAAAATAACATAAGTATATCAATAACGACGACACAAGATCAATTTATTTGTTTTCGTGTTATTATGGTGACGATACATAATTGTTATTTTAAGAGAGAACGGAAATGTTTAATGGGATCGGAAGAATCTTTCAAGACTATTATTTCAATATATATATCTTACTGTTATTGTGTATTATTATAGGCATTGAAAAAGTTTGCAGAGCATTCAATCTTCTACGAAATTCTTGAAAAATTCTAAAACCTGCTCCCTTACTTATTGGATTGTCCGCTATTGAATTACTTTTATACCAAAAGATAATTTCATCAGCTATTCAAAGTTATCGTTACAATCGTAAGGGCTATACAAACGTAGAAATCGAAATGATAAATACAAAGGTAAACGGTAATCGAAATTAAAACATGATTCTCTAGGTATAACATTTTTGTCACACCTGTACCGATAGTTTGGTTTTCGACCACGGTCGAAGTGTTGGAATGCCAAATTCATCCGTCCAGCAGACGGTAAGATGGGAATCCCATAGTGACGGTTGGTAAAGTGGAAATCGCAAAAATTGCGGGGAGGGGGAGGGAAAGTGGAAATCCTTATAAAACCATGTAGTAAAGTGGAAATTTCCTAGAACGCTGGCCGCGTATTCCCAGCACAACCAGAAACTTAAATGTATACCACGGTCCGTACAAAACATAAACTTTCGGTTAAATCGTACGAGTATATACATATCACAACCTCCTTGCACGACGCATAAACATTTAAACATATTTCGATTTCACTGTTCCCACACAAGTGCGTTGGGCGTTACGGATAAATTTGTTTTGCGCGATTAACATAATAATTCGAATTAGAAAATTTGATCGTTCGTGCAAGTGTCACGTCGCCGTTCAAAATATTCCATTTCGTGTTAACCGGAGCACCCGATTACCACGGTGTCGGCGTGCGATGTTCAAGAATTTTCGATCGGTGTGCCCTTAATGCTGAGACTTTTTTCCGCAAACGTTCGACTCGTCGTTTTTCCCGTGCCACCAACCATGTGTTTTTATGGTTGCGGCATAGCACGATGGAATCACCATCTCCGGGGACAACTTCGTGTGTGTGACGACTGTTCGAACCGTAGCTGACCCGTGTTCGGGAAATTTTCTTTCGGTTATCGTCGTGCGCGGAGAAGCCAGTTATTTGTAAATTGAGACCGACGCCGCTGATCAACCGATTCTTCTGCCAGTTGTGGCGTTCGTCGCACTTGTGAAAACGGTCGCGTGGGCATAACCACTCGAACGCCAGACCGTTCAAGGTATATTCCATTATATTTGTTAAAAATATTATATTTATTTTTATACGATTTGTCTATTATATTATTACAACGCGTATGGAGCATATGTGATTTTATTGTCATTTTTAGATTTATCATATTTATTATTAATTTTTTTTATTAATATTACTGTAGCGCTTTTGACTTGTTTATCCCGGCATTTGTTATAATTTCATTAATTATCCTTGTTAAGTGTTCTTTTTTATTGCAAACGGCGCGAATACGTCACACAATCAAACAAGTGATGGTTTGACTGCGAAGCGCGCAAACAAGTATAATACAAAAGATGACAATCAGTACAGTAGATGTAGTGAACCATTAACTTCACCATATATCGTTAAAACGGCAAATGCTGTTTCACTAAATCTATTGCCTAAAAAATCAAAAGAAAGATATATAATTGCCTATGAAAAACTTTTAAAATTGAGAAAAATAAATGAAACCAAATCGTTGTAGGAAAATATGTTTCATACAAATTTACCAATAGTCCAATAGATTGTCAGATATATTATTTAAGCAGAAAGTTCTATTGAAGTCATATTTATATAATCAATTAAAAATACTTACTACCTACTACTTACTTCTAATTTTTATATTGTCTCTTTAATTGTTAATATTGTTATTATTATTTGAATTGTTATTTTATATTTTTACTACACAATTGAGTTTAGAGATAATTAAAAAAAAAAATAAATAAATATGAACAATTGTTCATAAATAAGTATTGCCCAAGCTTAAAATTATATTCCATTCAATAATTATTTGGAATAAAAAAAAATATTCATTATTCATAAATAAATTAGTTATTTACACTTTTATTTTTTAATCATTAGTTTGATTTGATTTGCCCGACCCTGATGTAAGCATTACATATTTTTGTTTCATCTTGAGTAACGTGATATACAGCACACAGAAGCGTACACGTGCTTAACTCTTTTAGGCCCTTTATAAGTAATCGTTAAAATTTTATGTATATATTTTTTAATTTTTATGAAAACCTTAAGTTTTCTAGACTTGAAACTAGCTTGCTTCATAAAGAACCTATTCGTTTTATATAGTCAAAAAAAAAAAAAAAATTACTTTATATCTCTATTGCAAGCGTATTTCCTTATACGTATCCTTTTGATTATATTACATACCCATATAATAAGAGATAAAAATATATATTATTGTATTTAAATCACTTCTTTTGGTGTAGTGAATACTACATATCGCACACCTATATCAAAACAGTAACAACTCAAAAAAATGCTTTTTTCAGGATTATCAGTTTTGTTGGTAATACCTTGGTATCATTCATTCAATAAAATGTACTTACATTGCCATCTGACAGAGAATATTAAAGATAAAGATAAACTAGTTTTGTTGATTTATGTAATTTCGTTTGTATAATCTGAATATACGTTTAACTAAAAAAACCAACTTTTTGAGTTGTTATTGTTTTGATATGGATTTGTGATATGCGTGTACGATTAACAGCGCTGTGTTAAATATACGTCGGGAGTGGTTTATTTATTATTATTTACCTTTTTTTTTCTTTTGAATCGACGACCTCACGGGAACTGCTTTTACATTGCTTCCGTGGGAACATTATTATTTACCTAGGGACACTAATTCAGTAGATCCTAGTCAGTCCTGTGTATGTGTGAAATATGTACTTATAATATGTATGGGTTTGTGAAAATTCTCCTCATGCCTCAAAGCGAGGAAAAGTCGACACCTCACATATATGTTGTGGTTGTTGTTTTTTACAAATTAATTCGTAAAAGAAAAAAAAGAGTTAAAATACAGAAAATAACAAAATAAAAAATAATTTTATTAATTTTTGTCGTCGGAACCACCATGAATGTATTATAAACATAACATTTTTTTTTTTTTTAAGAGTCAGAGTGCTTATTTGTTGATTTCCATATAGTTTTTAAGTATTATTATTTTATTCTTTAGTAAATTTTGTTTATATTACGGGCTGGGAAAACCCAATTGGATAAAATTATAATGTTAGTTTTCGATTTTCAAAAAGAGAAAAAAATTGATTTTTCTCTATTATCCATCTTTACCGGCTGTTCCTCGATAATAGAGACACCCTATTATCTTCTGCTTAATCAGTAACCTCTGTACATATATCAAAAATCTTCATATTATTCAATTAATAGAATCAATGAATGGACATTCTTTAAAGAAATTATGAAAATAATATATATGATTTATGAAACCTTAGATTACGTCAAAACACCAATTCGATGTATTGATGATATAAACGTAAAACTGTATAATCATAATAGTTGGCTAAATATATTACACACTAATATTAGAAGTATAAACAAACATTTAAATCAATTAGAACATCTATATATCTCACTAAACGAAAAATGTCAAATTATAGTTACTTCGGCAACATGTATATGTAAAGACTAACACTGAATATATTCTATTCCATACAGGCTTTAATATAGAATGTTTAAAAATAACGTATTTAAATTATATAGTATTATACTTATAAAATATTACATAATTCATGATACATCAGAATTAATTATTCAAGATAATAATTGTTTATTTACGTTAATATAACACAATGATTATAATAAATACAAATTACCTAATTTAAAACTTTCGACCGTCTTAAAAATGTCAATTTTGAACATATCAAAAAACTGTAAAGATCAAAGTTGCTCAACATGTAAATTGTTAACATGTAAATTTAAAATTTAATTTTTATATTAATACATATAACCAAAAGATGTATTAACATTTATATATTAAGTAATTAAAATTAAGGTGAAACTAAACTGGTTGATGAGGAACATAATAATTTGAGTAAAAGAAAGATTATGGTTGGTAGTGCATATAAGCCAGATAATTAGGGAGTTATCTAATTAGTTAACAGATGAGAAAGGAATAACGGAAGAGGATTGATGTTTGAAAGAGTTTGTATGCATTTCTACGATCGGAGAGATTTAAGAGATTAAAAAGTCCTTGAACTGAATAATAGTCATCGGGAGAATGAGATATGTTGATTCTCACAGCAATCACACGTAATAAGTTTCTGAATATACGTCATAATACGTCATACTTTCATAGCTGGTGAAGGAATCCTCGTGGATACTCAATGATAGGACATACTACTTTATAGTACAATGATTTGAAATTAGGTGTCATCCAGTAATCGCGGAAGATTCGAAGAATGAAACCCAATAGTTTGAAAGTCCAACAAAATATTTGTTGAGTATGTTTGCTAGGTGAAAATTTACGAGCAAGGGTTTAAACCAAGGTCACGAATTGAGTCTATGACGTGTTAGATGAGTATGTTATGGAATCTGATATTAAAAAAATTATTTGATAATATTTTTCTACTTTTTCGATAAACAAATAATATGCAGGTATATATATATATATATATTATGTTACTTGTAAGTACCTAAATTTATCTAATTAGGCGGGTTAACTGATAAGATGTTTGTGTGAAATAGATAATTTTTTCAGTTGTTAAAATAATGTTATGTAAAGAAAATTTAGATAGAAGAAAAACAAAGACATCATTCATATAAAGAAAATGGTTGATTGATTTTTAGGTAAAATTGTTACAATATGTTTGAAATTGATTGGTATTTATATATTACAGTGTATATGGTAAACAAAATATTTTTTGGTTACATAGGAATGATCTAGTTATAGATATTTTTCGCTGTAGGTACCTATTTATAATAGTTTTAGAGTGTTTTATAAATTTTATTATTGTATACAAATAATATAATACTGTTTATATTTTTTTAATTTGATTTTATTAAAAAAAAACATTACAGAAAATAATACTGTTAAATTATGCATTCGTTTGCAATTTGGTCATAAAAAAAAAAAAAAAAAAACCATCTAAAATGTAATCAATATTATGTTTATGTATAAAGAGATAATGAATAATTTGAAATAATATGTAGAACACCGACTGACTTAATTATAGTTGATTGATATAATTTGACATTTCAAAAATGTATAGGAAATATCAATTGAAAACTAATGGATTTTTAATTTTTGGAAATTGAAATGGAAAACTTTGTTTATTTAGCAAAATTGTATTACAAATTCTGTAGACATTTTTTATACATTTTTAAAATGGTTGAATTATTATTGAAAAATAATAATTATTTAGTGTATAGTAGAGTTGGACGAATACTCGACTTTGTAAAATTGTTCGAGTTGAGTTCGAGTACAAAAAAAAAAAAACAATTCTTTCTCAACTCTAGTAAATAGTATGTTTTAGTGTATAGACTATTTGTAATAATTTATTTTGTGTTCATACCTGTATTCTCTAGAATAAACTTTTTTAATGTTATATTTTACAAAATAAAAATAGTAAATAAATAAATAAATAAAAGTATTCGAGTACAATAAAAAAATGATTGTCAATAATGTGTGTATATCATTATTTTAAATAAAAATATAATTCCTAATTTCTAGTTCTAACTAGGGTTGCCACCCGTACTATTAGTACGAATCTAGTCAAGAGTAAGACTCTCTGATATTCTTATCTGTATTTCCCTGTTACTGTGAGAGAGTATTTTCTGTGACGAAATTAAAATATAGAGATGAAAGAAATAAGAGTAGGTTTGAACATATAAATTATGAATTATTTATCTCTGTTAATGAAACATGTACTGAAATATAAGATACTTTTATGAACGATGAACAATTACTAAAAATTGCTAAGGTCAATAAAAAGTATACATTTAAAAATAACATGTAATATGTTTATAAATCAAATATTTTCACTAGTTAAATGTTGTTGTAATTTTGTTAAAAAGTTTAGTTCTTTAAAATAAAGATAATTTTTGGTTAGATTTTTTTTTTGTGTTTTGTACCTACTCTACTGGTTTGGGTAACTTAACGTAACGATGCAATATATTCACAATTAGTTTTGTGAGCCAAAAAATATCTTCAAGTCGTGATGTATTTTATTTTGAAAACAAAAAGGTGGTAACCCTGGTTCTAACTGATTCTGTCAATTATTTACTAATTATTTATTATTAGTCAATCAATAATAATTATCGTTATCTTGTACGTGGTACATTATCGCGTTGTTTTGTTTAAAGACAAAATTAAATTCCACGAACTTAAACAGATGATACCATAGATATTAATTTCAGTTGCAAGTTCTTCCGGACAGCAACGTAAAACGATAAAGACAATTTACGAACATATTTGTAATGTTTTGTACAATGGTAACAAGAAAAATAAATAGGTACAATACGATTTTTATTCGCTCCGTTTGATGCGTAATTGCCCCCTGGATAATTACGTACGCATGTTGCTCTGTATAAATGTAAACGTTAAAATCGTTTATTGAAATGTTTTTTTCGCTCGCGTCCTTCTTGCCGTACGTACACAACACACTCGCCCGTGTCAACCCACACAGGCACACGCAAATGTACACACACGCACACACGTGCGCACTCGTGTGGATCAGTGCCCTGTGCCCTACTCCACCACCGACCGCGTTCGCATTATTTTAAACTCGGAGAGCGTTTTGACTGCCGTCCAAAAGACCAATCTGCCGTTTGCTCATCATTTTTTGGACCATTCCCATTCGTGCCGTCAGTGCACGGAAAATAATTGACGCGGCGGTGTGAATCGCGTCGTCGTAATACACGTTTCTGCGTTGGACCGGCCGACAGCCGTTAGTTTTGATGTCTTTGTGCAACATCGTAGCTTTGCGTAAGTCCAGCTGGCCGGCCCGGGTTTCTCGAATAACGATAGTAAAATAATTACCGAAAAATAATAATAATATAAATTCTAAAATATACCCCCTCTCCACCTCGTCATCGTGTTGGATGGTGACGGTGCAATGTTTGATTTTTGACGTTTTTCTGTGTTTCCGCAGGCTGGGACAAGATGAGCAGCAACGGCGTAACCGAGGACGACGACTTTGCCGACGATCCGTTACGTAAGTAACGATAACGCGTTGTGCTTTTCGTGTTGAGATCGTATACGCGTCTTTGTAACACCGCGGCGCACTCGTTTATTTTAACTACTACGCAGTGCATTATGCGAAACTAATACACTTTGCTTCGGTCAGCTTTTAACTATTCCTAATTGGTTTTACCTAACTTTGTTCCACGTTCCTAACTTACCGGTCGATGCCGCGTAGTCGCAGGCTGAAGTTCTAAAACATGTAAAACGGTTAATGGGAGTGTATCAACAAAGTCCATAATGATAAAACATTTTTTGTCAATGAGTAAGTGTCCATTTTTTTTTCGTTTTTAATAAACAAAACGAAATTATTTATCTGATTCTATTGAATCTGATAACTCGAAAATAATAGTAAATAAAATTACCATTATTATAAAATGCAGTCGGCTATTATCAAAATTGATTGAAAATTATTTGGTTTCTTTCAGTTGTACGTGAATAATAGGTAGATATTTGATAAACTTTTAGCTCTAATTACAGATACTCGTAGTGTTTGAAAATGTCTTAAAATTTTTTAAATAAATTTTATTTTTACGTATAATTGTCATAAATTACCTTCATAATTTTATAATATTAGGAAAATCAATAATTATACCTAAAACTTTTAGATTATATAATTAATAATAATTATTAATGATAATATTAATTGTTATAATATTCGTATTAGAAACAATTTCAATGTTTCACAAGAAATATTTCATACTTCAAACACCAATTATAGAAGCTCAAATGATCAAAGATAAAATCGATGTATTTGTTATGTAGCTTATTTTCTTTATGTTATTGAAATACTCTATTTTCAAATCATGGGAAAACCATTATTTTAATATTATAAATAGAGTTAGGATGTTGATGACTTTTGCAATTATTTTTCTTTGATTCTATACAATGTTATCCTAGCTAAAAATTAGATTCATGCTCTCTTGACGTAGAATATATTTTTTGCATTTTTAAGCATTTTTAGATATAAATGTATTTTTTTGTTTTTTAACGTCATTTTTCAACATTTTTAAGTAATTTTTTCATCTTTTAGGTTATTTCTGTAATTGTTGTACAATGTAAGGTATTTTTTTCAAATTTTAGATTTTAGAGCAAGTGCTTAACCTAAATTTGGAAACAAATTTAATAATTCATAATTTTATACAATGTTTAAAATGTATACTATTGTTTATTAATATTATAATTTATAATTCACAATTTAAATTACTATTTCACCCATTACTACACCTATATCTCTAATAAAAATTATTATTTAAAAATAAATTTTTTTCATTTTCTTAAATAGTTTTTTAGATAATTTTTAAGATAATTTTTTAAAGTTTTTAGGGTATTTTCGCATTTTTTTTTAGGGAGTTTTTAAATTTTTTTTAGGGAATTTTTGTGTGTTTTTTAGGTCATCAACATCCTAACTCTAAAAATAATCATTGTTTAAGATGACTTTAAATACAAATTCAATCATTTTAAACGCTTAAGTCAAAAGTTATTATTTCATAGTAGTAACTATTACTAATTAGTTATCTTTATTAATACTATAGAAAAATAAAATTATACTAATTCATGTGATCATCACTTCAGTTTTTAATAATACTTTATTATTTATTTATGTCTGATTATCTGTATTTAAAAATTTTTTTTCGTTATTATTATCTTCAATATTATCATATGACATACAATTAAATTATTGTGTGATATGATAAATATATGAAATATTCAAAAACTTTATTTTAAAAAATGTTTTTTTATATTTTTAAACTAATTATAATTAGTTAGACGTTGAAAGTACCTAATTTTAATACCATATCAATTTAAAATAGATTTTATGTGTTTTGAGGTCACTATCGATACATGTACATATTTTCAACACATTTTTACGAGTACGCATAGCAGAACGAAAAAACTTTTTGGCAAAAACTTATTTCACGTTCGAATGATTACGAATAATTATAAAATTATCTAATTACTTGATACTAGATATAAATATAATGATAATAATATTTATTCTGGAAATAATTGTTTATACAAAAAACTTTAATAAAAATATTATACATATTACTATGAATATTAGGAAGATTCATACATTTATTTTTTTGGCATTAACAAATATGAAAGAATATAATTAAAGCGATTCTTTAAAACTAGGATATACGTTCTGCGTCATAAGATGTAACACAAGAATATAAAATATTTTAAAGGTTTTATTATGAGATAAAAAGTACTTTTGGAGTAACAACTGTATTTAATAAAAATAAAAATAAATTCTATGTTCTTGTTCTACATCAATTTTATTATAATATTAATTTTTTTAAAACTTTTTTTGAATCATTTTTCCAATGTGATAGCTTTTTTTTAATATTAAATTATCCTAAGAAGCGTGAGTTGATTTTGTCAATATTTATCAGATTCGATGTTTTAACTAGGGATGGGCCGATACCACTTTTTACCGATACCCGATATTATAATCACAAGTAGTTTTTGCGGTATCGGTTCAAATATCGGTTTTGAAAATAAGCCGATACCGATATTTCCAATATCACCAATATCGGCCGATACCAAGTATCGGTTCTAGGATCGGCCCACCCCTAGTTTTAAACAGTGATTTATGTAGTAAATTTTTCATGGTACTATTTAGTAAGAAATTTAACATGGCTATCGTCTTGTCACACATTTGAGTTCAACTTTATACATAATATATTGTCTCGAAGCAGTTCGATCTGCAGTAATCGATATATGTATCAAGTTAATTATTAATTTTCTCAATAAAAATAAAAATTCAGTTATTTAGTAATTTAGTATATTTGATAGATTTAATTATTTGGGATACGTCTGAAATGTACTACGTATCATTATACTTGTCATCCACATACATTTATTTAACGGAGTGCTGGCGTATTGACTTTAACCATGGTTTACTTATCAATTTATGATTTATTTATTTATATATATAAATACAAATGTGGTATACCTTGTAGCCAAATTTTTAATAGGAATATTGTTTAGTCAGTTTAGTATAATACATTTGCTTATTTGTTATAGAATTTAAGGAGTTGATAAAAGATATACATATAATAAACAAATAATAATAATAATACTTATATTATATTTTATAGGTACATTAAAAATAAATAAAGTATAAATATTATACTTATATTTAGTCATAATAATAGTACCATCATATTAGATACATTGTTTGTCGATATCGTCAACAATAAGCCATTTCCTAGGGATAAAACCAAATTTTGCTATAATGCTATAAATAATCGAAAACAAGATCCAATGTACTAATAATATGTCAATCACGATGCTCATCCATTAATATCAGTGATTATATTTAGAACTCGAACTTTTACATCATATAATTAATAATTTATTAATAATCATCATTAATATTTGTATTAGAAAAAATCTCAGTGTTCCACGTTTTTGTGAAATATTTCACGAGAAATATTTCATACTTCAATTACTAGGTATAAGAACTTCATTTTTAAAACATTTCTGAAGATTATTTTTCCGTTAAGGAATGTTAAGGAATTTTTAATCTTGTTGGAAATTTTATTTTTTCGGTAACTTTGACAATCGATGTACGAGAAAATCGATAAAACCATAGTATTTGATACATCAAACCTTGTCTGCACTAAACAATCGTATAAAATAAGGGTGGTATGGATAAAAAATAAACCAATTATTGAATTTAATAACATGACTGCATTATTATTGTTATTACCACACAGGGCGTATTGTCAGTGCCAAGAAATAAGAGTATAAAAATACTGTTCACCAAAAATGGAGGGGTTTCTTTCTATTCAGTGCGGTGCTGCCGGCAAGTATAAATAATTACCATAGCAGCTATAAGGAAGCGGTAAAACTATGTGCATCAATTGCTTGACTGTCCATTCGCTGATATTGATTTGAACACTCGTGGGTAACATTATACTTAATAATGTGCATTAATACCTTTCATAGCATGCTATATATATACGCACATATTATTATAATTAAATGTACGGTTTACGATGAAACGGAATTGTTTTCATTTTACGTTTATAATTTTTTGAACACGCGTGTACGCAAGACACATAACTGACATACGGAATGAAAACATTATCACATGTCAAACGGTGTTTTTTCATTTTTATTTTTCGGTCAAGTTTTACAGGGTTTTTTTCATTTCTATCTTGAAATTTTCAATACAATCCTCACATATTACGTATGTAGTCATCTCAACCAAAATGGTCGTATTGCTTTTCTGAATGGTTCGATTTGACGTAGTATTTGTTGAGTTCGATCACAAAGCCTATTGATTATTTTCATATCGTTTTTATACACAATTCATAAACAGCCTGATCACGTGAAAGTGCGTGACAAGTTAATCAGTAAAACTCGAATAGCTGATGAACGTCATTCTGCCATATTAAGGAGTAGGCAAAAAGTGATAATGATAATAGGATAAAGTACTAGTCCTCTTTCTGGTATTTTTAAATAAGAAAACAAAAATATTGGCACATTATTATTTTCACGTTGTATTGATGTATTAGATGTATTAGATAATTAAGATTTTATCACGATGGTGTCTCATTACATTTTGATATTTTATTTAAATGTTGGTAAGATTAAAGCGACATCTATCTGTTTACTTGTTTCCGTTGTGATAATCGTTTGATCATCCTTTGATCTAGAGTGCGTTCAATTACTTACGGAGAGTATTCAAATTTTTGGCAAGGTTTCAAAGTTTCTTTTGATGTTTAATATAATAATTAGAGGATTTCGTTTTAAACAGATTTTGAGTATAAAATTAAATTTGTCATGCATTGAAAAAACCAACTCATCCATACAGTATATTTGATTTTGGGATATATTACAACATGTACGGTGTATATTGTATAGTTCATTAAGAAAATTATTATTCGAGCAGTTCACAAACATGTGTCAAACTTTTATTCGAAAATTATAGTATTTCTGGCAAAAGAAGAAATTTATAAAATACT